CATTGGGCACTTAAAAAANGTTTCTAAAATATAATTCAGAGCCTTATTCATGATTAAACAGGACAAAGCACTGTCTTTGTTTTCTCCTCCAACTAGCATGTGACTTCCACTAGCAAACCAGTCATTCACCATGAACGCTATGGGCTTTTTTTAAAAAACAATAGTGGTGCTATCCTCTTCACAGACTCCTTGATCACTTGCAAAACCATTGACTTTGGGTGCATAAAATAGGCACACTTCTGTGCAGAGTATCAATCAGTGCCGTATTATGGATAACCAGTAGGTGGTGCTTCAATGGTGAAATCCTGCCAATTTATTTCCTTGCCCAATATCTAGGCACCTTGCTTTTGCTCTGTGCTTGGCCAAATTATCTGGCAAAGATTGCAGATTCACTGTGTGGAAGACGGCTCGGTGTGAAAATCAACTGATGCTGGGATTTGCAGGCGCCTGAATCAGTCTCACTGTGACATTTAAATTTTGTTATTACCGCACTACATTGATCAAGGTTTTCTACAATTCATATCATGGAATTTTAACTAAGCCTAACAGAGGTTCACTTCAGGATAGCAGCTCCTCACTGCCACTGTTCTTTCACCATCACCATTGTTGACACGGAAAACAGAGTCTCGTGCAGCTTTGGAACTTTTAAATACTGTATATGTTTACATGTGATCTCCCCAGCTAGTCAGCAGCTGGCTTTGGCCAAGTGGGCTAAGCCAAAATCTGAAACTGAGTCATGGAAGAAAAATGTAGCGGCATTAAGCCACTGAACTAAAAATATGTGAGCCAGGAGATACTGTACTTTTGTTACAGTACAAGAATACTGCCAATTGAGAAAAACAAATTGGCAGTAAGTTAAGCTAGACGGCAACCAAGATCATCAATAAACAGAATAACATGTGTCAGCATTTTTTTTAAACCCTAGTTGTAGTGAGACACTGTTTTTGTGGTTTTAAGTCAGTCAGTGGATGAATGAACGGATAGCTACAGGTGTTCACACTACCCACAAAACCAGTCATCTCTTGCATCTTTAGAAATGGGTGACGATATTGTCAAGATACAATTCAGCAGTTCGCCAATCTTGCAAAAATTATAGTAATGGATCTAGAAGTCGTCAAATAGATTTACCATGAACTATGCAATAGATTAAATTGAAAAACATTTTTTCCTACCAGTTGATATAGATTTTTCCACTTATGCTCTATGTTTTTCAAACTGTCTGAATCAACATTAAAAAAAATCACATTTATGACATTATATGCAGTAACGAGATTGTGGTTACAAAAATTAGATTGCAGGATTGGCTGTATGCAGCCGGTATTTAAACATGTGCAAGCAATCGTGTCTATATTGAAACCATCAGTTTCTTTCCATACCATATAAAATATGACTATTCTCTGAAGCCCAGTGGCACAATACATTGATGTAAAAATTACTTGCAACACAGCTTGAATAATCAGTTTGTACCCACGACTCAACTCAGAAGGCAGGAATATAAATCAGTGGGCGTCAACTCAGGTCATTGTCCCACGCACACACTTGTTAACAGAGCTACCTGGAAACAAGTCTTGTACATGTCCTCTTAGTCCACATGTCCACAAAGTCAGATGAGGACTCAACAAAGAGGAGCGTGAAACAGTTTTTTTTCAAAGAGATAACAGATAACACAAAGAAGTTTTCTTACTAGATACAATAAAATACACTGCAGCAAGGCACTGCTGTAAAGTTATGCATGTTAATAGGGAGAGGTGTATTGTTCAACAAGGACAGAAGGCGTTGGGTGCCCTGAAAAAATAGAATCCCAAAGTTGATCTGCCACATGAGACACAAAATAACGATGTCTAGCCCTAAAGGTTCAATGAAGAGAACATTTGGTTCATTTTCATCTTTGGTTGTAACATGTTAATTCAGTACATGATACCATGTACAGTAAATTTAAGGAGATAGCATCATTTCTGGCCTTGGCTGTTAACTCAAAATATATATTTTTAAAAGATTCACAGTATAAACAAATAACCCCACCTTCTCAAAAAAATTACTCATAGTTAACAAAATACACTTTCAGTTCATCACATGAAGTGCTTTGAGATGTCCTCCCGACGCGAAAGGCTTTATATCAAACGTAAGGATTATTTTTTAAAAATGTAATTCCTATCAAGAGCAAGTTGAATTTTGCAAAGGCAAACTTGTTTTTGTTATGAAGAATTCACCCCTCTATATTTACTATGGATCTCTCAACCGATGCATAAAATCAATCTGCTTGTCGAGCACATATACTTTTAAATTGGAATAAAACATGCCATTAAGCAAAAGCTGCAGAAAAATCTATGAGCATTTCATCAGTGCTAGTTTTTTTTGCCATCAGTTTTTTTCCACTTCATTGGAAATGTGAAATGAGTTAGAAGTGCAAAGTTGCACTTGATGAATTTATTTACATTTAAATAAAGGGCGGCGGGGGGAGGAGACAAAAAGAAAAATCTACTCAAGAAAACTCTATAGCATATCACAAACATATACCTGGTTGGAAAATGGAATTCTAATTTTTAATTAAAACTCATCAGATTACAACTGTAGAGTTTTGGTCAGCTGTATATAAAATGCTTTGGTTCGAATGATCATAAAGTATTTACATGACCATTGTGTTTAGGTTGGACTCTTACAAGTGTGAATATCAGTCCATAATGCAAGAGGGAAAAATTATAATAGCTGGTATTTTTCAACTATGTACACCACAAAGGAATGGTATGTGGATTCTCTTCCAGCAAACTTTGCATATTAGTACAGTGCCAGTTATGTGGCAATTTGAACCAGGACCTCATGCGACAACAAAGTGAACCTTTGATCTACTTGATTAAAGGTAACAAATTGAGGATTTCCTTCCTCATCACTTGGTGTTTTAGAAAACATGGTTATTTACCTCGAGTCAAACCTTGGCGAATATCTGTCCCGATTGCTGAATGCTGTTCTTGCCATTCTTAATTACCGTAATAAAAGTATTTTAAAAGTTCATTGTCTCAAAAACCTTTGTTTTGGCAATTTTACGCAATGTCCACCCTTCAAACAAACTTGAACCACACCTTGTATCATTAGCTTTTGAAAGCAGCTGCAGGTCTCTGCTGCTGCCTGGAAAGTGTCCAGGCAGAAAATTCATTGTAACAGAAGACAGGTCATGCAAGGCTAGTGGAAAGGAAACATTTCTAATTCATTAAACCAGGAGCCAAATAAGGCCAAGTCTGGTAAGGCCTCCATTATTATAAAGACAGCTGTAGTGCAAGTCTGTTATGAATCAGAGAAGTTGAACACCCAAAGCATTTTATAACCACACTAAACACTAGAATTACTGGACATCAGTGAAGTGTACCAATTTAAAAAGCAGTTTGGAAAATGTTTTTTTTATTTACTTTTAAAAACAGCTAACCACACTCCTCCAACCCATATTCTAAAAAGCCATAAGCAAGAGTTAGCTTTTTAAAAAATATACACAACCTCCATTGGCATTTAATGGAAATTGAACAAAAAAAAGCCTGGACTACAGGCCCAACAGCACAGACATGTGCAGCAATCATTAATGTACCCCAGCATAGTTGTATCCATTACATTTTAATCATTACTTAACAATAGATTCCAAATAGTTTAAAATCTATATAGTGTGCATACGTGGTACAACCAAGATGACTCTGTACTAACGTGGATATGGGCTTTCAACTTACAATACAGTCTTATTAGCCTATTCATGAATTCGTCAATTACAAGTTTCAGAGCATTCCTGACTTACAGGGATAATACACCACTTTGACCTACAGTGCATCTCTAATAAATGTGTGTATTATTAAGACCACTCAGATGCTTCAAGGAAGGTTGATTCCATGTACCAATTTTATTTATATAGAAATACTTAAAAAAACATGAAGTAGCACCATTACTTAAGTTTTACCTTTATTATGTAGAACTTTAAATGTCAGAAAAATAAAACTCTTGATACAATTTCAATTCTTGTCTCAGCAAATATAATATTAGTATTTGACCATGAGGTTAAAGGCCCTTTATCATAAAATAAAATATATTTCGTTTTTAAACTTTGCTCAATAAAGTACATTTACGCTCAAGTAACTTTACCTACATATACATAAACAAGTGGTAAACAAATGTATTAAAATAGAAATACTAAACTATAGTGGTGCAACAGAATTTGTAATTTCCACTGGTTTTCTATTTGTACAAATGTTAGAAAGCTTAACTGTTCCTTTTGTTGATTTGCTACTTTTATAACATTTTATTTTTGTAATAATATAGAATAAAATATGTTTTTTATATCATTGACTAGAAAATATGCTGGGTGAAGCGGGTTTAAAAGTCATGTTGGTTTTGTTTTGTGTTTTTTTNGCTGAACCTATCAAACCTCCTTCCCAACTGAATACTGTTTGCATTTACACATCATGTGGTCTCAACATCATACACAGTATTGTGATATTAACAAAACGATACAGTGTTTGTGCCCAATTATAAGGCCTTTCTCAAATAAAAGATTTAACCCAGCTACAAAAAAGTTCACTGAAATTAAATTAAAATACTTGTAAACATCTGCAATACGAAATATAATTTTTCAAGTCAAAAAAGAATAAAATACTTCAATCTGTAATGCGATTCTCTCTCTTTTTTTAAGAATTTCGGTTTTCTTTTTAAACCTGCGGCTCTCACATAATATAGAGGATATGTACTGTACTTATTTTTGTTTGTTTACCCCACCCCATCCCACCTCCACCCCCCACCCACCCCATCCCACCTCCCAAACACCCCCCACCTCCCCTCCCCCCTCCTCCATCCCCACTCTCCCAAATTTTGCTTGGGAAGAATTTGTGGTTGTGGGTTTGTTTTGATGTGTGTGTGTGTGTGTTTTTTTTTGCTTTAAAACTTGAGTGAGACTTTTGCAGGATCTGAGTAAAATGGGGAGGAGGGGGTTGGGTGGGAGGAGGGGAGGAGGAGGAGGAGGAGGAGGGAGGAGTTGTGTTACAAAGGAAGGACAGTCGTTTGCGCGCCTGTGTGTGTGTGTGTGTGTGTGTGCGTTCGTTTTGTGTTTTTGTTGGTTGGCTTTTCTTTTTCTTTTCGTGTTTGTTTATGTGTTGGGGTGTTGTGGTGTTGGTAGTGTTTCGCTTCCCTCTGCGTTTACGAAAATATACGTATGGCCTGAGTAACAGCTGTGCGGCACACCGGGCACTCGGGCGCGCTCTTCTCGCAGATGCGGTTGGCGCACTCCATGCAGAAGAGGTTGTGGCCGCAGGGCACCAGCGCGGCGATCACCTCGCTCTCCAGGCACATCAGGCAGTCCCGGCTGCCCTTCCTCCTCATGCCGCCCGACGAGGAGGAGGAGGAGGACGAAGAGGAGGAGGAGGAGGAGGAGGAAGATGAAGAGGAGGAATTGGAAGAAGAGTTGGGATGCTCACCCCCCGCCGCCGCCGCCGCCAGGTGCCCGGTGGGGAGCACGACCGCCGCTGCCGGGGGAGGGAGCGCGGAGGGTCCCCCACCAATTCCTCCTCCTCCTCCGACGACGACGACCGGCGGAGGTGGCACCACCACCACCACCCCCCCCCGCCCCCGCCACCCCCGCCTCCGCCGCCGGGGAAAGGCACCAGCCCGATGCCGGTGCCGCTCAGGGGGTCGCTGCGCACCCGCCGGGCCAGGGGGTGCTCCGACGACAACAACACCCCGTTGTTGTTGTTGTTGTTGCTGCTGCTGCTGCTGCCGCTGAGGACCTGGAGCGGTGGGGACAGCCTGGGGGGGGGCCCGGAGCCCAGGCTGTTGGCTCGCCTCTGCTGTTGGGGCTGAGGGCAGCAGATGGAGGAGGAGGAGGAGTTGGAGGAGGAGGAGGAGGAGGAAGAAGAGGAGGAGGAGGAGGATGGAGGAGAGACACCGTGGCCGTTGCTGGTGCCACTGGCCGCAAAGACCCCGCCCGGGCCGGGCCGGTCGAACTGGGACCAGATGAGGGCCGAGGAGCCGGGGGGGGCCGGGGCCGGGTCGAAGCTGGGCGACTCGAAGCCCAGATCGCGCTCGTGCTCGCCCTGCAGGGGGGAGGAGGAGGAGGAGGAGGAGGAAGGTGGGGGGATGCTGATGGCGGCGGTGGCGTTGCTGATGGTGGCATCGCCGGCGTAGACATATCCATTGCCGTTGGCGTGGCCGCTGTTGCCTCCTCCTCCTCCTCCTCCTCCGCCGTTGCCGCCGCCCCCCCCGCCGTTGTTGTTGTTGTTGCTGCCGCCGCCGCCGTTGTTGTTGTTGTTGTTGTTGCTGCAGAAGGGGTGAGGCGGACTGTACTCGGCCAACCTGCAGCCGTTGGTGCCGAAGTAGGAGTCGGTGGACGCGCTGCCCAGCGAACTGGAGCTGTCGTTCCGGTAGCTGGAGAAGGGCTTGCGCCCGGGGGTGGGTTTGCTCCACAGGCTCCCGGGGGCGTTCACGTCGAACCCCACGTCGGTCCCGTTGGCGTGGAAGTCGTTCTCGTCCGTCAGCTCGATCAGCCCTCCCGTGCGCATGGCGATGTGCGCCTCGATCTCCTCCCGGGCTCGGTCCACGTTCTCGGGCATCCCCGTCACCTCGAACACCGGCTCCTTGTCCCGGCTCGGCGTCACGATGTAGGTGTGGGTCTGCTGCTGGATCCGCTTGATGGTGGCCCCCTTGGGACCCACCACCAGCCCCACCACCCGGTAGGGCACCCGGACCTGGATGGTGGTCTGGCCCGGGAGGTTGGGCGGACCCGGGGCGCTGCCGTTCAACGCGGTGTTCTTGTTGCGGGAGGCTCGGATCATGGAGAAGTGCTCCGCCGCCGAGATGATCTCCCTCCTGGCCATGGCGACGTCCTCTTTCCTCCCGGTGACAACAAACACAGGCTCCTCCCCGCGCACCGGGGTCTTGATGTAAGTGTTGGTCTTTGCCCGCAAAGCTTTAATTTTGCAACCTTGGGAACAAAAGAAAAACGCAACACGTACACACACACACACACACAGAGAGAGACACACACACACAGAGACAGACACAGAGAGACACACAGACACAGAGAGAGACACACACACACAGAGACAGACACAGAGACACACACACACAGAGACACACAGACAGACACAGAGAGAGAGACACACACACACAGAGACAGACACAGAGACACACACAGACAGAGAGACAGAGAGAGAGAGACACACACACACAGAGACAGACACAGAGACACACACACAGACACAGACACAGACACACAGAGAACACACACACACAGAGACACACACACACACAGAGACAGACACAGAGAGACACACACACAGAGACACAGACACACACAGACAGAAACACAAGACACACAGACACACACAGAGAAACACAGACACACACAGAGAAACACAGAGACACACACACACACAGAGACACAGACATACATACACAGACAAGACACACACAGAGACACAGACACACGCACACACACCACAAAAAGAATCGCGATTTAGTTGCAAATCAACCGAACCATTTCAACCGGTTAATACCCCACCCCACACCCCATCAAAAAAATAATAATAATAATAATAATATGCAAGTTCCCCGCGTTTCAATAAGACTGCAAACTTTATATAGAAAAAAAATCACACACACACACACACACACACACAAAAACACAACACACAACAGAAACCAATCTGACGCATTCGGTTCCACACACACACACACACACACACACACAATGCGTTTCTCTCTTAAAAGACATGTCTGCACTTTCCTTTGTGAAGAACCACAGCGAAGCATTTGCGCGCACCGCACACGTTAAGAGGGCAAATAAAGATAAAAGAAAAAGAGACGGCAAAACGGGCAAGAAAGCCAACAAGAAAGCCAACAAGAAAGCCAACCAGCAATCAAGTAGGGACGAGAACAATACGTGTAAAATATCCCAAATGCATGGCAAGCAATCTGACGCATTTCTCAATCACACACCACCACCACCCACCCCCCACCCCCCCCACAAAAAAACACCCCCACACCCCCACCCAGATGTGCTAAGATTATTAACACTACATGCCTGCACTTTCCTTTGTGAACCCTTTACACACAAGCCACCCCCCCACCACCACCACCCATTAACTCGGATGTTTTGTGTTGTGCTGCTTTGTGTGCAAAAAAAAACCCCACACACACATAGACACACACACACACACACAAAGCAAAGCTACCGAATAAAAAGGAAGAAGGGGGGAAAAAAAGGCTATAGCATATCATCTAGAAACGTATGTAGTAGTAGTGTGTGTCTGATCGGGAAGGGTCAGTGCAGGATTGCAGATTTTTTTTTTTGGGGGGGGGGAACCACAGGAGAAAGCGACTGCATGGCCACACACACACACAGACACACACACAGACAGACACAAAGCCCTCCACCACAGTGAGACCCTCACCTTGTCTGCCCACGATTTCTGCTACATGCTCGGAGCTGGGAACGGGGACACACTCGGTCATGTTGACGCTTTTCTTCCTCGGTTCGTTGTCGTAGATGGAGTTCTCGTCATTGTCCAAACCGAGCAGAGAGAGCTGGTCCAGAGCAATCTGCAAAGCCCTTTGGTCATCCAACGTCTCGCCACCACCACCACCACCTCCTCCTCCTCCTCCTCCACCACCACCGACACCGCTGCCGTTCCGCTCCATGTCGACAAAGAGCGAACTCGGCATCTTATTTTTTTTTTCTTTTTCTCTCTCTCTCTCCCTCCTCTTCCTCCTTCTTCTTCTTCTTCTTCTTCTTCTTTCTTCTCCTCCTCTCTCTCCCTTTTTTTTTCCCTTCTTTGTTTCCCCCCCCTTCTCCTCTTCCTCCTCCTCCCACCACCACCCCCTCCCCCGAGTGGCTTTAGGAGGAGAGCTCGAGAGAGAGCTCAAGAGAGAGAGAGAGAGAGAGAGAGAGATCGAGAGAAAGAGAGAGGGAGAGAGAGAGAACGAGCGAGAGGAGCAGGAAGGAATCAGACAAAAGCAGACGGAGGGGCAGGGTAATAGGAAAGGAGGAGGGAGGGAGGGAGGAGAAGAGGGAGGGAGGAGGAGTGGGGGTGGGGGGGGGGGGAAGAGAGAGAGAGAGAGGAGTGGGGGGGGGGGTGGAGAGAGAGAGAGGAGGGTGGGGGAGAAGAAGAAGAAGAGGAGAGAGGGAGAGAGAAAGGGAGGAGGAACAAAAAAAAGAGAGAGAGAGAGAGGCGAGGCTGGTTGGAGTGAGACTGGAGTCGCAGTGGAAGAGGCGCTCGGCTCAGCTCAGCTCGGCTCAGCTCAGCCCCAGCAGCCGGGCGGCCCGGGCGGCTTTGCTGTCCTGTTCTGTTTCTTCCTGGTGAAAGCTTCGGGAAACCTCTCTCTCTCTCTCTCTCTCTCACACACACACACCACACACACACACACACACACACACACAGGGGGTGCTCGCTGTCCCCCTCCCCCCTCCCCCCCTCTTTCTCTGGTTTGCTGGAGCCGGTGGGAGGAGGAGGAGGAGGAGGAGAGGAGGAGGAGGGAGGAAGAAGGCGCAATAGGCTGGGAGCTCAGAGCGGGGTGTCTTTTCTCTTTGTCTCTCTCTTTCTCTCTCTCCTTCCCTCCCTCCCTCCCTCCCTCCCCGTGTGTGTGTGTGTGTGTGTGTGTCTGTCTGAGCGCCTTTGGCAGTGGCTCATTGAACTGAACTCGTCGTGTGTTGTGTTTGTGTCACTCACTCACTCACTCTCTCCCTCCCTCCCTCTCTTTCCCCTTCCCTCCCTCCCCCTTCTTTTTTCCTCTCACTCTCTCTCTCTGCCGCCCCCACCCCCCCCCACCACCACCGGTCTATTCCCACTTCTAACCCCCCCCAACCCCCCACCCCACCTCCTCTCTCTCTCTCTCTCTCTCTCTTTCTCTCCTCTTTCTTTCTTCCTTCCTTTCTTTCTCTCTCTCTCTCTCTCTCTCTGTCTCGCCTGGTCTCAGCTCCCAGCCCCGGCCAATGTGCCCCGTGACATCATGCGACACGCCGGGTCGGCGGCCAGAGGTTAGCGGCGTGTCTGCTCATTGGTGCTCCTTCCCACCACCACCACCAACACCCCTCCTGGGGAGGGAGGGAGGGAGGAGAGGCTCAGACAACACCAGTGAATGAGGACAGACCTTTCCCTCCCTCCCTCCCCTCCCTTCTTCTTACAACTCTTTGTAACAATGAAATAAATGCTGGTGCATCACCGTGAACCAGGCATTTTTATTTTTTTCTTTGTGGTGCAAATATATATATATATATAGAGAGAGAGAGAGAGAAGTATTTTGCAATAATAATAATAATAAAACTAATACCAATAAAAAGGCACAGCCTTTGAAACCTATTTAATGATGGAATCAATGAAATCCCAGATTCCCCACTCCCTCCCCCCCCCCCAATTTTTTTCCCTCTTATTATCATTTGTTCCTTAAAGCATCCTTTTTTTTAAAAAAAAATGAGAGATCCGCCAAAAGCAACATCGATTTGACATTATTTGCACCGTTTCTCCCAAACCCAAAACGGCAGCTATTTTATTTGATGGCCAATGAATGCAATCACTGTACTTTTCCTGCACGTTCCTGCAAACGGGAGCTCGAAAGAACAAAAGAGTACACGTGAAATGCATACAAAAAAAAACCCCACACCACACGTCAAACGGTTTTTTTTTAATTCACTGACTATCGATGATAACGATATCAAACGACGAGGGCGATCCGTTAAGACCTCCTGGATTCTGGGCGCAAACAGGATTGCAACACGTTGCAAAAGGAACATTTGTCGGGATTTGCAGTGATATCGGTTTATTTCAGGTCATAAGAGTTTCTCTCTCTCTCTCTCTCTCTCTCTGGAGGGAGGGGGGGAGGGCACACCTAACACAGGCAAAATTAAAAGACATTCGGGTGGGGGAGGTTTGCATCAACGATGTCAAATCTGCGATGAAAATGCAATTGATTAACGTCTCAGGTTGGCTTTGTCTACCGATAAATATTTTTGCAGAGCCTCTCCTGAGCTTTCCTGGGGAACAAACCCTAGACGTGCACCAGGAGGTCTTTGTTACCAACTCCTATTCCGCTCAGCGACGTTTCATTTTCAGTCTTTAAAAAAAATATTTTTTTTCTTTCTCCTCTCTCTCTCTCTCTCTCTCTTTGTTCATTCTCAGACCGAAATGGGAAGCGCACAACTCGACCCCCAACGCTCAAAATCCTAACGCGGCTCTTAAAATCGTTGCACGAGGAACAACACACCTAACACATCTTTTTTGGAAAAAGTTCAGCAGGAAAAAAAAGGCATTGCTTTCTGTGCAATAGCGACAGAAACCCAGCACTGCAAGTGAGAGGTTTGCAGATCAGACCACCCCTCCCCCAACACACACACACACACACACACACAAAGACTACATATTCCCAACATCGCAGGTTGCATTTAAAGGGGGTGGGAAAAAAAATACGTGATCGTTTCCACGTTGTCGTCTCATTTAAAAATTCGATGCACTGTCCACAGTGCAGATCCTCGAATCCCAGTCCTGGGCACAGCTGTGCATTTGAGACAGAAGCTCCCGACACGGTTGCAAATTCACGTACGATGCACCAACTTTGTGCACCACACCTTTTCTTTTCACCAAAAGTGACAGACAGTACTCGTATGTCAACGGGTGTTTTGGTTTTTGATAACACTGCTGTCAATTAGGCATCACATTGCATAGCCCAGATGAGGAACACAGGTAATCACCATTCATTTCCGCAGGATGTTTGCAACACTTGACATCTGGACCTTGGAAATATCAGGGAGATTTACTGAGTGTTTTATTCACTGGCGATTGAACAACATGCACACAAACAAGAACATGTCCTGGTCCACTTGTTTTTTTTACACACACATACACACACACACACATAAGCACCAACCAAACAGCAAACGTCTTAATTCACCAAATCAGCCACAGTAATGACCACAGCTCTCAACTTTCAAGAAATAATAATAATAATAATAATAATAATAAAGAAAGTCCATTTCCTGCAGGCAATTAACTGCCAGTAATCATAAAACTTTTGCAATAAAAAAACACATTGTAGATATAAACCATAATCAAACGTTTGGTTTGATTATTTCATTGTTTCATCAACTCTTCTATATTTATGATGCTTGCCTCACCCACCCCCCAAATTAATTTCAAAATATGTGTAAAAAAGACAATGCTAGTAAAATAAGAGCCAGTACACAGTTTGAAAAAAAAAGTTGAATTGAGCAAGTCAGGTTGCAGGCTTGATTTTTTCTTAAACAAAAAAAGCTGTTGACGGTAGCTATTCTTACTATAAGATGGAGGGAGTGTTGGGTTACATGGTTTTAAAAATGGTAACAGCCACACATAGAACAGAATTTATATAATGCTCAACTATTCATTCAGTTTTGAAGAAAAGGCTATTTGTGGACGTGCGCTTAGGGAGGGAGATGGATCAGCTCCTCGGTCACAAAAGACATTTCTGCTCAATTCAGAATCGCTGGGATGGAAAGTTCCTTCTTTGTCATCCCACTCCCACCACAATGCTTATGTTAATATCAACTGCTTTAAAACCCCTCAATAGGGAGGCTTTCTGTTGATCTTCTCTGCCTGCCCTCGTTAACATAATCACGTTAAACCTAGAAGACATGAACTGCATTTGTATGTCTTAAAATTGTTTCCTCAAAATACTCCTTTAAGGAATATTCGCGAAAGCTAATTCCCACCGTATATTGCGCTCGGTGCGTCCATTTTCACCGATTTGAATTCATCTGGTGTTTGAAAAGTCTCAACTCATTTTTAAGTCCTCGTGAGTTGAAAGGTTATTGTATGGCCTCACGTGAAACTACGAAAAGCAAGATAATACCCCGTACAGCACAATATTGTGTAGGAGTAAAAGTCAATTGTTCCAAGGACATTTCCCATAGATGCCACTCCTATGCTCAGGAATCAAGAGATGGTTAGAGAAAAGAAAATGCATATCCTTTCTACTGGTGTTGCAAAACAGTATTTCAGAACTCTCAAAACTTCATTGTGTCTAACTTTACTGTTTTTTTTGTGTGAAAGGATGTTGTCTTGTGCTCCATTTTAACACAGACTAGATCATATTGCTTCGGGGAAAACACAACCCAAAACAGAGCAAGTTTCATGCAGTTTCTGTAAAAATCCCAAGATTTAGTTGGTGGTTATTTTTCTGCAATATAGTTATTGTGTTCTCTGGATTACACTTAGATTAAAGTTGTAAATAAATAGCATTGAAAAAGTATAAGTAAAACCGACACAATAAATACTAGCATCAAACATTTATTTGAATAAGACAAAGCTGACTAGTGTTTAGATTTCCTTATCACATTATTGGTAAACCACCACTTTATTGGGCAACAATCTTCAGAATGTCAAAAAATCTCACCAAGCCAGTAAATGTTTTACAATGCAAGTTCATTGTTCTTGACCATTGTAAAGTATAAAATCTGTTAATTACTACAATCAAATGAAAATAAAAGAGCCATTCTTTTTGTCATTTGAGAGAGCATGTCTACTGTCTTGGTTAATAATTTATTATATTCACACCCTCCTCCTCTTCCAGTGGTGTGTGTTATAGATGAATTTTAATCATAAGCTTTATAGCACTGAGATTGCTGTGCCCTGTGAATCACCATTTTAGTCATTTTTCTTGTATTAATAATTGTGCCGCTATTGAGAACTACAAATCATACAAATGCATTGGGAAATATTTATGACTTTAAAAG